GAAGGCTGAGGCAAGAGAATTGCTTAAATTAGGGTGGTGGAGGTTGCCGGGATAGGGCCCCTGCACTCTAGCCTGGGGACAGAGTGAGGCTGTCTTTGGTCTCAAACTCCTGAGCTCAAGTGACCCTCCTGTCTTGCCCTCCCGAAATGCTGGGATTACAGGAGTGAGCTGCCACGCCTGGCCCTGAGAGATCTTCTCTTTGGCACAACTGTAGGGACTGGAACTGTAGCTTTGAGATCTGTGCTTGGCCAATAAGCATGTCCTTAAAAATGGCTTGGTGTTGCAGATATTTCAATATATTATCCCTGAAGAAACTAATGATACTCTGTGCCACTTTAGGAGGCATCAAATTAAGTCACCCCAAGACTTTTGTTATTTGCTCTATGTCTTCCCCCTGCATTCTCAAGCCTAAACCAAGCCTGGCAATTAGTTAATATATCAGCATTAGATGCTGAATGAGCAGCAGGTGCCCCCCAAACCCAAGGGAGAATGCGGGAGTATTCAATTGGAATCTGTGTGTGGGAACAATTTTTAGAATATTTTACTGTGAAAGGATCCAGATTCTAAAATGAAATTTCAATTCATTATGCTTGAATATAGGTATTATGAGTTCACTGTCAAATTCTTTCGTGAACTTAAGTTTCACTGAAGAAAACAGACACTTCCTGTTAGCTCCTCAGTGACTTTTAGAGGCACCAAAACGTGCAACAATCCTTATAATCTAGCACCAGTTGGTGTAAAGACTATTGTGCCAATTATTTGTGAGAAATGGCTTTCTGGATTTGTACCAATAATCCAGTTAGAATGCTGTGTAAAACAGTGGTGAAAAAGGAATTGTTAGAACAATGGATTGTACCAAAACAATAGTATTTTAAGATAATAATAGTTAATTGCATATGTAAAACCAAAGGCATTATTTAAAAAAATAATATTCTTTAAAAATAAAATATTTAAGAAGTTGACCATTATAAATATAACTTAAATATATAGCTGACAAGTTCCCAGTTAAATCAGGGTAATGCCACTTTTAGGTGGTATTTTTTATTCTGAAAGAACACTAAGATGTTTGTAAACCTGCCCTAAAATACAAATTACATGCAAATACCTTGATTCACTGATGATGAAACACACTCACTAGGAGAAAAAAATAGCTAATAACCACTGAGTATTTGAGAATGGGAAACAAAACAGATCCTCTTAGAGGAAGTACAAGGGAATTAAAGAAGAGAACAATCCAACTGGGGATTTGGCTAGGGTGTGGAGCCTAATCCCCCTTGCACTGCTTAAACAAATCCATGGCAAAATTAAATATCAGAGCGAAAGGCTGGACTCAGTGACTGACTTTTCTCAACAACCTTTCTAGAGAGGCAAGACCCAAGGTGTCAGGGAGGAGGCCAAGTTCCTGCATTTGAGAAATCATGGCTCCATCTCCCCTTCCCTCAGTTCAGAAGTCAGGGCTGGCAAACAGCCATAGGCAATTCCTCCCCTTGGGAGTGCCCATTAATCCCCAGGGGTCAGGAGAAGGGAGAAAGGTCATCCCTTCTAAATCCCTTCAGCCTACGAACCACCTTCCTAAACTGCTACCAGTTGAATAGTTGGGCCAAATTAACTGCCCATTACTATTTACTATCAAAGAAACCAACTGGGGTTCCAAATCACTGTGGTGTTTCCCAAGTTGGAAGGACACACTGTATATGAGTCACTTTTACTGGACATAAAAGGTGTCTTTTCAGCACTCTTTTAGTATTTCTGATCACACTTAGGAGAAAAGTCTTAATCTTTGGCAATTACTTGCTACTCTCTCCTCTTTCCCTGCAACAGTAGGAGCAGACTGTGGGCTTAGAAACTTGGGTTGGCAATTAATATATGCTCTAGCTAGGACTTCATATTTTTATGGCTACTTTTAATCTATGACAAGTTTTACTGGGTTTTCATTTAGGGTATTGGTAGAAAGTTTCCTTTCAAAATAAGAGTGAGCAGGCTTCAAGAAAAACAGTAAGTTAATATTATATAGAACAAAAACCAGGGCAGAAAGCCCGTGAAATTCAGCTTTAATCACTGTTGTGAATTTCTTCTCCCTCCTGCCCAATGTTAATGGCAGTGCACTGTAGCAACCAACTTTTACAAGCAAGTAGTTAAGTGAAAATAAAACGAAACATACTCTTCTGCCTGGATAGAGTCAACCGGAGCCACATAATTGCTGGGAATGTAACCTGTCTCTCCAGTTGTCAAGGAGCGGGCTTCCCACCAATCTCCTTCCCTGTAAAGAAAAAAGAAAAAAGACAAGTAAGTATGTTGACCATTTCAACATCTTGCAGTTAGAGACTCACTGAGATCTGACGTGTATAACTGTCACCTAATCATCCTGCCACCTGATTTCTCCAACCTATTCCTTTACTCTGATACTCTGAACGCCAACATAGCTCCCCTGTCAAGGTCAGAAGGTTCCAGTTCGAGTCAGCCATGAGATGAACCTACTGTTGTCTTTTGCCTTATTTGTGAATTAAGAATGTGGGATCCTGGCCATGAGAGGTCTCTCTCAGAGGGAGGCATTTTGCTTGCTTAGTGTCCTCAACTTGGACGGAGGGAAAGGGAACCCAGCCTCAGCCTGCTTAAGAAAAACATCCTCGTTGCAGATCATCTGGGAAGGGAAGCTTGTCAGGAGGTCTGGTAAGGGATGAAGGATACTCTAAACACCTGCCTGGCTTGCTCTCGGAAACAATGGGGAGACAGCTCTCTGCAGGTAGAATGATGAAGACGATAGGCTCGCCCTCCCCAGGCATTTTCAATCAGAGGTGATGCCATCAAATGTCCAGGGCACTGGCCTGAGGCTGATGTGCTGGGGAGAAGGGTGGTTATAGCTGCATGTGCTCGCACAGGGGAAGCACAGAAACTTGGCAAGGGACTGAGACTTTCAGTCATGCCACTTTGTACTGCCTTAGGCTCCATGCCACAGTATGGGAGTGTGGTATTAACTTGGGGAGCTCTCAGAGGAGGTGAAAGGGGAGCCTGTAGCTACTCTCATTTTGAACCCAGTGAGTATATTAAACATTTCAATTTCATCTGCTTGGGTTTACACAGGCCTATCTGTGACAAAGAGCAGGAATCGAGTGTGTACCTCTTCCCACTAACATCGGGGAGGCAATGGATGAGGTGCTGTGGCTCTGACATCCACTGAGTATCTGCAGAACCTTCCACCAGCCTGAGGTCAAGGACATGATTGCCCTCAAGCAAATCAGACCTCCCAGCAAATCTGATCTCTTGAGGCTCAGCACCTTCTCTCCCTCCTTTTTTGGGCCTTGGAGGCAGCAAGCAAAACTCCAGGCCTTTTTTTTTTTTTTTAAATCAGCTTTTTGGCAAGGTTCTGTGTCAAAGCTTTCAGCCAGGACAAAAATATGTTGGCTTTTGGCCATGGTAAAAGATGCTCCCAGACAGATTTAATCAGGTAGAGAATAACCAGCCTCCACGTTAAACTCAAGCCTTATTCCAGCCTCTCTAAAGCTGAGCTCTCTGAGCAAAGTGAGCAGGGAGAAACCACTCCAGATAGGATTTAATAGAGCAATAGAACAAAGGGGACAAGCCAGTGTGCACTGTGGGTGCCGCTGTGGGAAACTGTCTGGTGGCATAAGTAACAGAAGAGCCCACAAAAAACCAAGGTGTCAGCAAAGGTTTTTAAAAACCTTATGTTTTAATCAGTTTCCTAATCTCTCCTTTTTACCCTATTACAAATCAATCAAAAGTACCGTTCTCATATCCACAGAGTCCTTTATTCATAACCTTACATTTAGTTCATGTCTAGATTTATTCATAACCTTAAATTTAGTTCAAAATTGTTATGAAATATTTACACATATTGAAGAATATAGGTACAGTATATATGAACCCTGTGAACCCACTTCCCAACTTAAGAGCTAGAACGTTACCAGTGGGGTGGGACCTGCACAGTGCTGCTCCTCTATTGTAAGCGCCCCTTTCCTTCAGGCTCAAATCATGACATTAAAAATGTTAACATCTTAACAGCTTGTACCAGTCTCATTTCTATGTCTTCCAAAAGAAATATGTACAGTCGTAAGAATATCATCCAAGAACATATATGGAAGTTTATTTTTTTCTTTAAACACAATGTGTTTAAGGAAATGGCTTTGGAGAGAATCTTCACTTTAATATAGTGACAACATTTACTGCTCTGAAGTTCCACTAGATGGAGACATTTCATCATAAAAACAATACCCATCTCTTCCCCTTCTACCTCCTCCCACCCAGCCTGGGAAATGCTCCAAAATGGCGAGGAAAAAATTAAGAGCTTGTAGCAGAGGCTTATTATTTATTTATTATTTTTTTAATGCAAGATAACCATCAGGTTAGTTCTAATTGAGTTAAGAAAAAAAAAAAAGGCTAGCATCAATTTTAGGGTATGTGAAAATGTCAATGGGGACGGGAAGCCAATATATTTTGCTGCAGGCTGGGACAAACCCAGCCTTATTCAGGTGATCTGGCATTAATGAAGTCATTTCCAATTCAAATCTAGCATTAACGATCTCATTTTGGTCTATGGACCTAAATAGTGTAGCACAGACCGGAATGCAATTATCAGCTCATTCTAAAGTCATGAATCAAGAATTCATGATTTTCTTACTTGACCCTCTTAATCTCACAAGGGTTTTCAGCAACTCATGAGGAAGATAAAATCCTTGATTTCTCTTTTTCTAGGCTTTCCAGGGTCACTTTCTTCATCAAAGGAGACATAAGGTGACAAAGATTCAAAGTTTATTATGTAGTAAACCTCACATGTTGAGCCCAGAGAGGCTGGTACAGACTCAAAATATTTACCAAGAGCTGTTGAGCAAGTGAATAAGTCATCTTTTTGATACACTAGAAGCACCAGTTCACCTATAAATATACTCTATATTCATGTGGATTTAGGTAAATAGGAGCTTTACTATGTTGCCTTTTATTTCTCGAGTTACTGTGGGTAGCTTGCATTGTTAAAGCTGTATTTCTTTAAACTGTTCTTATAGTTCAGCTTCTTCAATTTATACTTGGTGAGATATTCTTTGTTATCTTGGTCTAATTCAAATACATGATTTAAAGCCTAACACTGGTTTGGATTGGCTTTTAAAGGTTTCATAATAGCTCTGTCTATTCCTCTGATTTAAAGACATATTAAAAGATTCTGTCCCCTCCCCAAGAAAAGAGCCTATCCCCAGACTCCAAAGTTGCTCCTAGGCTTGTGGGCCAGGAGCTGGGAGCCCTAGAGTCTTGGAGCCAGGGAGTGGTATTTGCCAACAGAAGTCAGCCTTGGTTTGCCCAGTAGTGTAGCATTTTTATAATCTGATTTTTAGAGAGCATATCAGTAACAATTTTAACAAATGCTTGGGTGGGGCTCTAAACCAGGATTTCTTTTTATCACAATAGAAAAAAAAATGCCCTTGGCCGTGACCACTACTCCACTCTGTGTAAAACATTTATTACATTTTAAAGAGTCACTGTTCCTAGATGGTAAATGACTAGTCTTGAAATGCAAAAACAGGGAATAAAATGGGTGCACTTAAACATTTTGCAAAATGGGTTCAAATTTAATAATCTCCTAATACATGACACTGACCACTTACAACAGTTCAATGAAGCACCTTTGCCCCTTGCTGGGCAGCAGGAACACCGCCTCTGGGTACGTACATACATGCATATCCCATGGTGTATGCTGTACTTCAACAAAGCCAGCCCTGTGGCCTCCAGTGCCTGCCTCTTGACAGGGGAAGGGAGTGGGTGGACACACACTAGGAGGTGTGGCAGCTGCCCTGGCAGAACAGAGCCCTATCCCTTCCTCTCCTCCACGGGTGAGAGCCAGAGGCGGGAGAGGATGGGGGAGGGGAGGAGCTGCGTGCCATCTGCTTCCGTATTATTGCTTTGTTTTTCCTTCACGATTTTCTCTTCCCTGTTATTACTCTTGACTTCAGGATATCGTCTTGTTACACAAAACTTATTTTTCTTTTCTATAACTTTGAGAAAGGACATTTTAAAATTCCACTGATACAGAATTCCACTGTCAGAAAGGAAGAACATTAAGAGGAAGAGAACCTTTGCAATATTTTCCTCCACAAGAACAGGGCTAGAGGCTCAAAGGACTCTGAAAACAGCAAAGGCCGTGCATGGAAGTCGCAAAATATAGATTGAGACAGACTGGATCCCCCTTAAGTGTTTCTCTAAAATTTCAATTTGGTGACATTGCAGATCCTTTCCAGATTAACAAAGGAAGTAGGCATGGGATTGACATCGGCAGTGACTGACTTTCCAACGCCCCCGAGCCTGATGCACAGATGCACGTGCAGTGTGGACAGAGCCTCCCAGAGAGCTGGTTCTGTGCTCCACTATTCCTTGGTTCTTGCGGTTGAAAGTTTGCAAATGGTCTTGAAATTTCTAATCAACCTTGGCATGTAGGGAATATTTAATAAACTGGGGAGGTTGGGGAGGCGGATTTCAGAATTCAAAGTTAATAGACTCCAAAAAGCAGCAGTCATCTGAGAATCAAAATAACAGCAAGGAGGTATACCCAAGAGAGGATCAAGGCCCAGTTCCCTCCTCCCCAGCCCTAGCCAACTCTCCAAACCTTCATGTCACTGGAAGGGTCCCATCCCCTTTGATAAAGTACTGAGCCCTGCCCAGATCAAACCTGACCCTGTTCTCAGGCTGCCTCCCTGTTCCTCGCCCTGGCCTCTGCCACCAGCCAGCTCTGTGCTCTGGGGCAGTTTCCTAATCCGGGCCTCCAGCTCCTCAGATGTCAAACGATGACGTCGATGCATACCTCAGACAGTTGTGGAAGAATGCATGAGAACGTTTGTAACTGAGCACATGGCTGGTAAACCAGGAGCCTTCAATGAATGGCAGCTGTTCACTATTTTTTAAAAAAATTCCTATGGCTACAGGAGGAGGACTTAGGGGGCAGGTAACACTCTTCTTGACCTGGGTGGTGGCTGCACAGGCATATTCAGCTTGTGAAAATTCAGCAAACTGTATACTTTTTGAAAATTGCGGTAAAATATAGGCAACATAAAATTTATCATTTTAATCATTTTTAAGTGTACAGGCGAGCGGCAGCAAGGACGTTCACCTTGTTGTGCAATCATTACTGTATACACTTTTGATAAGTGCACTTTTCTGCATGTATTTCAATAAAAACTTCTAAAAAACCCACCCCACACCTTTGTTAATGATGACAATACTAATGTATGTTTGAAAACTTGTGGCTATGTAGACTGTGTCTTCTGATGTCTCAGAGTCATCGGCCCCTTATGGAGGTATTCAGTTCTTGCTATTGAAAGTCGGCATATTCTCAGTGCATGGTTCTGTGAGCCAGGGGACATTCCAGGGAAGGGTGGGCTTTCCAAGGAGGCAGTTTTCAAGCCTGAGGGGGTTCCCTGTGACAATCAGCACTCCTCTTTCCTGGGGTGTGCAGTGTGAGCAGGATTGCCTCTTACTTCCTCTGGCACATCCTTCTGGGAAGGATGGCTCCAAGTCCTTCCACCATCATGGAATCCGGTTTGCTCAGAGAGCAGAGGAGAAGCAACCAGACTTGGTGGCATAGAAGGACTTCCTGGTGTGCCCCTCAGCCCCTGGGTGGCATTCTTTCCCAACCACTGGGAGTACTCATAGGGATGCTTGAGATGCCTGGATTGCTGATGTGGGAGCCCCCCAATCCCCAACTTTCTTCAGAGCCTATCTTTTCCTGAAGGGCCTCATCCATGCATACTGCCTCAATCTAACAGAGGCAGTATTTATAAACCATAAGAAAATCTGACCCATATTTACTCTTCCTTATGGAGGTATTGAATGTAGGATTTGAAAAGGGAGTGATCCTCACTCTTGAAATCTCCCCACTGCCTGTTTAACTGCTGTTCCTCCTGGCCAACTTTAAACAACCATACAGCCTAGTCATTCATGAGTGGGTGAAATCACTTCTCTTCTATCTCCAAAAGACTTCAGTCACTCCCAAATTTTCATTGCAGGGAGACGCCGCCACAGGCTTCACCAATGAAATGTTTAGTGGTTTATTAAACAAAGAACTTGTTGCAAGCCTCAAGTGAGGGTTGCAAGCTAGTGTAACATCTGAAATGTGAAGAAAATCTCAAGGCAGAGAGCATAAAACGTGGGTAGCCAAGGCTTACGCCAATCACTTGAAACTGTAGGTTTGGAGAAACACTGAGGGCTATGCAGGATGATGCTGGTGCTTTTAGAACCTTTAAACCTAAACCAAAACCAATACACATGGACTCTGCTAGTATTTTTGGTATTCTCTGAAAATTCCTTGGACACACAGTGCCATAAAATACTGCACTGTGTCACTGACTCTTCTTTTTCTCAAAGTATATTGTTATGAACTAGTGAATTTAGCAAATGTTCTTTTAGATTTCAGACATCTGAAGAGGTGCAGACTGGAAATGCAAGAACCCTTCTCAATGTGAAAGGTACACATGCTTCTCCTCCCTCTCCAAACTTACGAGCTGTTCAATATTTGAAATTTTTCTCCTTTGTGAAAACTCAGGTCATCTTCCGTCCGTGCTTCATAGTCATAAAGGGCCACAAATAGCGTCACTCCTGCCAAAACAAAATCAAGATGGAGATTATTACACAAGGGGAAATTAATTCCAAGAAATTAAATCTTCACTAAAAATCTCATTCTCAAAATCTACATCTAGCCAGCACTAACAACGTGATGAGGTGTTGTAATTAATGTGTGAAAACCACAGTCACAGGGCTGTGTTTACGCCTTGGTCTTTGTAGGGGAAGCCTTACTGGATCTGATAAAAACATGGAGCTGAAGGACTTCTTTCTGTATAGCTTTGAATGAGTGCTGAGGAGCAGGGAGATATTAAGATTGCATCCCAAACAAAAGGGCAGCGTTGGGGGGTTCAGGTTTGCAGGGCTCTGCAGCAGTTACTGACATGCCTTGTTAGTCACATCTTCCTCCACTTGGAGCCCATGTTAGGCTCTGGGCCAAATGGACCACTCTTTCTCCTAGTAAAACAGTAATATAGAATGTAATAGGAAACGCCTCCTGCAGCTTGGGGAAATTTAGAGAAGACCCTTTCTGTAATATTTGCCCCAATTAGAGGAGGTACTGCCCGTGGCATCTGCAGTTGGTTCTGCAGTTCTGTGCTGCTCAGCCCCACTGCTGAAAATGGAACCCTCTCCCTGTCCTCCTTCTGCCTTGAACTCACCTCTCCTCACATTGTCTTGTAGCACTCATTCTTCCTCACACTCACCCTACGTCCTCTCAATCTGGCTGACTCTCTAGAGAGGCCCTTCCTGCTTGGCAGGAGTTTGCTAGCAGCAGCAGCAGAGAATATCCAATGTCATTTGGCCTGGGATTTCCTCCATATAATTAGGCATGATTCTTTTTGTTTGTTTAATAGAGATGGGGGGTCTCACTATGTTGCCTCGGCTGGTCTCAAACCCCTGGGCTCAAGTGATCCTCCTGCCTTGACTTCCCAAAGTGCTGGGATTACAGGTGTGACCTACCATGCCCAACCCAATAGGTATAATTCTAACATAATCCCCAATGATTCCTGCCTCCTGGTTTTCATGTCTTGTGCAATCCCCTCCCCGTGAGTGTGGGCTGGCTCTAACGACTTGCTTCTATGCAACAGAATGTGTAGTCCCTTAGGTGACTAGGCTTCAAAAGATGGTGACTTGTATCGTTCTAGCACTCTCTTTATTGCCACTTCAGCTTGCACACTTTGATGAAGCAAGGCGCCATGCTGGCGAGACCCATGCGGCCAAGAACTGAGAACCAGTGAGGCCCCAAATCCCGCCAGCACTCCATGAGTTTGGAAGCAGATCATTCTCAGCTAAGCTGTGAGATGACTGTAGTCCAGCCAACACACCTTGATTGCAGCTTGTGAGAGATTCTGAAGTAGAGGACCCAACTAAGTCATTCGCAGATTCCTGACCCACAGAAACTGTACATTTAGGTTTTATAATTTTAATTGATGTATGGACACACACACACAAAAAGCATGAAGGAAGATCTGGATTCAAGCAGTGCCATGCGTTACATCATCACTACAAGTGTTCAAGTGTAAAGAAAACCAATTTAGAAACTATGAAATTCCTGATTCATAAATACATAGTTATTTCTACTTTGGTACACATAATTCACTGTTATTAAAGCTCTTTTATGAAGGCAATTGCATACATTTTAAAAGCAATGGTAAATTAAGTTGTCTTCCAAAACTGTGTACTTGTCTGGTCAGCTGTGTATGATCAGTTATCTACCTCAGAGTCTATTTTCTTTTGTGCTGGGACAGGTTGCTGGCCTTCCTGATTCCACAGACCAAATCCTCCTAGCTCTGAAGCTAGGGCTAAGCAGTTATTTCTTTCAAGTATCTTTCAGTTCTTAAATTTTATGCTTGTATTTGATGACAGATGTCAGTGACATTTGATAGTTTCAAAAGGCTTGCTCCTCTAAGTGTAGATTCTAGTGAAAATTACACAGTCAGAAGATAAATGTATTTGTTTTTGTTTCATTTTTTAAAAGTTGTGGTATTATTGGTTCTATGCTCCCTGGAATATTACTGCTTTGTGAAAATCCAGACTGAATGCAGCACCCTCTGTGTATCTAGTACAGTTATAAACCTGGGTCTCTCACTACTTGATATTTTTGCATTAGTTAGGACAGAAATTTGATAGCTCGGTTAGAGGGGAGGGGAAATTTTCTGCTAGAAATGTCTCAACTAAGTGCCATAATCGTTGGGTAAGATTTGGGAAACATAACTTCTGTACATAAAAAAAAAAAATTAAACATCACATAGTTGACAGCCATTAAATTATTTAAAAAATTACGAAGAAAGACTTTTTGTACAGGTTGAAATAAAAATATTTTCATAGAGATATCTATATGATCAAGAGAGTTAATTTTTTATTTTTGTTTTAGTAGTGCCACAGACTTGCCAGTGATAACTTATATGTCCGGTTCAAAACAACTCTGTAGTTTTCTTTCCTGGGACTTGTCGTTAAACACCAAAATACACTTTTGAACTGTACATTTCATCAGATCGTTAGCTTTTCTGTTTTATTTCTTTTAAGAACCTTTGAATAAAAAACACCTGAAATTAAAAAACAGAAATTAAATGTGTTTCGTTTTAAGCTGCTACGTTTTGTGGCGATCTGTTATACAGCAGTTGATAACTAATAGCAGTTCCCTGCAGTCTGGCTTCTCATTCGGTCTCCGCACTTCAGAGCGCCCACTATGGCCAACAGAACGCACGACACGGAGCCCACTTTTTTTTTTTTTTTTTTTTTTGAGACAGAGTTTCACTCTTGTTGCCCAGGCTGGAGTGCAATGGTGCGATCTCGGCTCAATGCAGCCTCTGCCTCCTGGGTTCAAGCAATTCTCCTGCCTCAGCCTCTCAAGTAGCTGGAATTACAGTCATCTGCCACCACGACTGGCTAATTTTTTGTATTTTTAGTAGAGACAGAGTTTTGCCATGTTGGCCAGGTTGGTCTCAAACTCCTGACTTCAAGTGATCCATCCACATTGGCCTCCCAAAGTTCTGGGATCACAGGCATGAGACATTGCACCCAGCCAGAGCCCACTTTTTTACCAAGCTGCCAGTTTGCTGTGTAGGTAGTTTCAAGGGAACAGATGTGTCACGGCACTATTCGAGGACCACAGAGAGGAGTGGGGCTTGTCTTTCTGCCCCATCCCAAGTGGGACTTTCCTTAGGAGAGTTAGCATTCAGGGGTGTGACCATGCAAAGCAAGGCTCACTTGGCAACTGTCCTTCTTTCCTTCGATTTCTTTGAAAGGTAAAAAAAGAGATTGGCTTAAAACAAAAATACAGGTACCTGTAAGGTCATGCCTATTCTGATTTACCACTCCATTAACAAATTCCTTTCTTTAAAAACAATTTAAAAATGAAGTCAAGCCAGCTCCACTGTGGGGAAGGTAAGGCACATGAAGGCCAGCATTCCCACTCTCTCCTTGAATCAGCTGACAAGTTCTCACTGAGGGCTTTTATGCTCCATGTTCTAGGAACTGAGGGGAGAGTCAAAGGAGGTTACAGAGAAACACAGACATTGTTCTTGGCCTTATAGGACTGAAGGCAGTGTCGGGAGAAAGGACGTGCATATACATTAACACAAAATAATTCAAGGCAGAAAAATCTGCCAACATTTGAGGGTACTGTGTTTTAACTTTCAAATTTTATAAGGAACCAGGTAGCCTCCTAGACTAACAATGCTCCTGACTGCAGTGGAGACCCACATGCTCAACACAGGTGGCCCTCTCTAGTGACTTTACTAAAGGATACCTGCAGACACAGGGGTCCATATCCAGCACTCAGGAATGAATGAACAAGGACAGTGCTTGTGTCGGCAGAATTAACAGTCGGCCGGGAAAGCCCTCATGCTTCTTGTGGTTAAGGACAAGGATGGGGCTGTGTTGGGTGCGTTTTTGGCTCTTTTTTCTTCTGCATCCTTAGGAGACAGATGGTCTTGGACTGCCTGTGTCTCTCCTTTCCAGGTGCCTTTGGGAAGGTGGGAGGGATGGGTAAAGGTATCTAGCATGTATTCAACCCATGCAAGGCCTGGGTTAAAAGGAAAGCTAGAGTCACCACGGCATGAGGATGAACATAAATACTTCTTCTACGGGCAGAGTATGCTATGCTAGCAGAAGATAAGTAGATAATGTCCAAAGGCTCTGGGTCAGACCCCTTGATACAACTACGCAGCTGCATGTTGGGTGCAGAGGGAAAAAATACCCTGTTAATGCCTTAGTAGTGCCTCCTCCCAAGGTGAGAAAGTACCAGCTGCCAGATGGGCTGAGAGATACTGCATCCTTTTAAACTTTTATATAAGAAAACTACTCCCAGATGAGCTGAGAGACACTGCATTCCTTCAAACTTTTGCAATAAACAAAATAATTTTGGAATAAATAATATCAAATATCTAGTTACCATGGTTCACATACTCAGAGAAAATTTGGACGACTAAGGATGCATGAGATAACTTACAAATATTTTGGAAAACATATGTCTGAGAATGTATGCCAGATATTTTACAAAGTATTAGCTAAGTCAGCAAATACATAAGGCAGCAAAATATAGCCTTGTGGTACAAAAGACAAAGAAACGTCAAAAAAAAAAAAAAAAAAAAAAAAAGGCAGGCCGAGGATTAGGAAGAAGTAATACATTAATATCTAGAGGACTCAAAATACACACACCCAGGCCCAGTCCTGGAGCCTCTAATTCAAGAGACTGGGACATGGCTCAGACATCCGCAATTTGAAAAGGCTGCCCTAATTCTTCTGTGCCAAACAGCCAGGCGAGGCTCAGAGTCATTAACCTACAGTTCCCCAGTAGAATGTTGTAGCTCACCAACCCATCCAGAATCCTCAGTGAGCAGCAACTTGGGGCACCCTGCACCCCTGTAGCCAAGCATTTTGTTTGTACATCAAGCTCTGGCTTTTCTTACAGCCCCTTATCTAGTAGAGGAGACAGATTAGAAACTCCTGTTCAAAGGGAAGTGATGGGAGCCCAGATGTTCAATTCCCAAAGGAGTTAAGGGCAGCTGCCCTCTCTCTGTACTCTGTGACTTTGAGGGCTTACCTGTTCCTCCTCTCGTTCGCAAGGTCCCTGTATGAGACGAAGAGTTCACACCTCCAAAGACAGTGAGTCCTTGGCCCCCGGCTGCGTGGAAGTTGTTGTAGTTGGGGATGGAGGTCACGCCAAAGCTGGGGTAGTGCTGAGGGGTGGGGTCTGTGCCATAGCGGTACCCGGAACTCTGGTTCAGGCTGCCGTCCCTCTCCTCCGTCAGTTTTGTTGCTTCTTTATCCTTACATTGCACACAGCCCATTATCTAAATTCCTGCCAAGGACAAAAAGGGGACACGTAAGCTGGGATGCCCCCTAGTGGCTGGGTTGTTCTACGGTTAGCGAGAAGTAATTGACGAGGCTCACTGTTGGCTATTTCAGGCCTGTGGGGGCATGAGGGAAGGCAGTGGCTTGGGGGGTGGTTAGTAAGAGGAAGCTTAGTTCTCTTGACCCCACAATCACATTTGTTCCCCACATGTTCTGGATGACAGCATCATCACAGAGCACATCGTTCACCATGCAGCAACTTTCCTCGAATGAGGCCTGTACTTCTTCAAATTCTCTAACAGCATATACTTGCCTAAAGACAATTGAATCATACTTACCAATTTTGCCTTGCTTTAGCCATCTAAAAAAATAACATATGCTCTGTAGAATGAGCCTATGCAACATTAGAATAAAAACTCCCGGCCGGGCGCGGTGGCTCAAGCCTGTAATCCCAGCACTTTGGGAGGCCGAGGCGGGTGGATCACAAGGTCAAGAGATCAAGACCATCCTGGTCAACATGGTGAAACCCTGTCTCTACTAAAACTACAAAAAATTAGCTGGGCACGGTGGTGCGTGCCTGTAGTCCCAGCTACTCAGGAGGCTGAGGCAGGAGAATTGCCTGAACCCAGGAGGCGGAGGTTGCGGTGAGCCGAGATCGCGCCATTGCACTCCAGCCTGGGTAACAAGAGCGAAACTCCCTCTCAAAAAAAAAAAAAAAAGAATAAAAACTCCCGTCAGGGCACAGGAAATTGAAGGAAGAGGGCACAGAAGTGTTGGATAAGTCAGAACACAACTTCCAATCAAGTCACTAGACTGTTTCACTCATGGGTAACTAACCTTCAGGCACAAAACTGGTCAATTTTAAGCACTAAGATGATGCTAAGCATCGAAACTAAGAATTAGTCACTGGATGAAAAATAAAATCGGCAGAACCTAAGAGGTTCGAGTATATTTGCAGGATATCATGATACCCTATAGTAACGAAATCACTTAAAGCTGCTAATTAACTTTTCAGATTTCCATTAGCTTTTGACATCCTTCAAAAACATAAAAAAAACATTCCCATGTTCTGGAGTTAGTGGTGGATTACCCACCTGAGCTGTTGCCAACCCACCCTCCTCAAACCCTCTTCCCCCAGGCTCCTCATCATAGTAAATGGCACTGCCAGTGACCCAGTTGCTCCAGTCAGCATCCTGAGAAGCATCCTCATTTCCTCCTTCTTGTTTACTTTTCACTCTTCCTGTCTCAGCTCTCCTATTCAAACATGCCCAACTTTTCAAATCCTCAAAGACTCCATTCCTCTACCCGCTTCAGGCCTTGGAACATAGCCTTGAACACTTTTTCCCCTTCCTCTTTGATATGCGATGTACCCTTCATGTCCTAGTTAATAAGGCACTGCTTCCTCTGCAAGGCTTTCTCCGACTGCCCTGCCCCTCCAGGCTGGGTTGTGCTTTCCCAAGTGCTCCCATGGCATCCCAATCTCCCTCCTTCTTGCACACTTGGCGCCATATTAAAACAGCGCCTGTCCACTTGTCTCACTGCCCAGTGGACTGTGAGTTCCAGGAAAGCGGGACCCTGTCCATTTTTGTGACAGCTACATTGCCAGTGCCTGGCACAATAAATAGCAACCAGATGAGTGAAGATTTTGTAGCCTGTATGTTTCTCTTTTGCCCTTTCTTTACCTCTGTATCAAGGCCAATCCCTCCTGTGACTTTTAAAAATTTTTTTTGAGATGGAGTCTCACTCTGTTGTCCACGCTGGAGTGCAGTGGTGTGATCTTGGCTCACTGTAAACTCCGCCTCCCAGGTTCAAGCGATTCTCCTGCCTCAGCCTCACAAGTAGCTGGGATTACTGGTGCCCACCACCATAGCCAGCTAATTTTTTTTTTTTTTTTGTATTTTTAGTAGAGATGGGGTTTTACCATGTTGGCCAGGCAAACTCCTGACCTCAAGTGATCTGCCTGCCTCGGCCTCCCAAAGTGCTGGGATTACAGGTATGAACCACCGTGCCAGGCCTCTCCAGTGACTTTTATCAGCAATGTACCTTGCATTTTAAAATCTACTGGTATATGTCTGAGAAGCAAAGAAGATTCAGAAATATAAGGTTGTTAAAGGGTCCCACTTTGGACTTACAATACCCCATCAAGCTGACAGGGGTCAGGTAGAACAGGCAGTGAAGGTGCCTGCCAAAACTGCAAACCAGCCCATTTGGGACCAAAGAATCAAATAAGAAACACATGACATCATGTGTAATAACATTTATTCACTGGGGAGGACACAGTTGGCACAGGATGGGAAGGGCTTCGGGTGGCAAAGGAGAAAGTACACTTTTCTATATTATCTTGCAAACCAATGCGGGAGGTGCCACATCAGACAGGGAAGCTCTCTGGGCGCTCTTCTGAGCACTGCTTTTCTGCTGGAGTGGGTGATGGGAGCACTATCAGACTGTTCTAAAGCTCTCTCATATTACGTGTTTCAATAAATACTTACTGAATTGAATGTCAGTTCTTGAGAATGAAAATGTTTGGAAAAGAGACGCCTACTGCTTGAGCTGAGCTCACCAAATCTGGAACACATTTACTACTAAATCATTTGAGATTAGCTTACAGTATACTGTGTCCAACATGCTTTGTAACTTAACGGTAAATGGATGTGATTTAAACAAGTTTCCAATAGGAAATGCAAGCTATTTCCAAGGCATGATGTGCTAAAGGAATTTCATCATCTGTTGTTGATGTTGCTTCATCAGACTGAAGCTACCTTGCTCATACAATATGAACTCTTTCATGGTGGAAAGTTGCTCTACATTTCTGTAAAGGCCAGACAGAAAACATTTCTTGTCCCACATGCTTTTTTTTTTTTCCCCAGGAATTTAACTGATCTACTGTAATTAGAGAATGTGAGACCTGAGTCACAGAATCACATCACTGACACCAGTGGTTCTCAGCTAGGGGTAACTTTACTGCTCCCCCACAAGAGAGATATTGGGCAATGTCTGGAGGCATTTTGGGTTGTCACACTCAGAGGGGAGGGGTGACACCTAGTGGGCAGAGGCCAAGAATGCTGTTAAAACAACCTGCAGTGCACAGGGCAGCCTCCTACAAACAAGAGTTATTTGGCCCCAAGTGTTAATAGTGTTAAGTTCAAGAAATTCTGATTTATACAGGAGAAAGAATGCTTCCCTTACATGGATGTGATTAACATGCAACCCAGTATGCTTTCTTCAGGAGAACAGGCATGCTAGGTAGAAGCAGGCAGTTTTAAAGAGTGACATGAAGTGCTCTGATTTTTCTCTAGAAGTTTTCTCACCGTGATAGAGAAATAGAACCCAGAACTAATGAGAATGCTTATTGCAAACTACTCTTCCAACTCCAGCAAAACAAAATAAGCCCCATATCAGAACCCTGAAGAAAATAGGATCCTACATTTAACCAAACTAAGAAAATATAATCTTTCAAAATCCACTTTTAAAAAGAAATATACTGTAATAAGCAACTAGGAGCTTATATATAATTTTACGAATAGGGAAGAAAAATCATTAGCTATATTCGGTGTGCCCAGGCTCCTTGCTACCAGGCAAACTTTGGATCATTCATGCTAAAATACAAATATTCTTTATTATGCAGTTATGTGCTGTGGCTGTTATGTCCAATGCTGTAGGTGCATTGTGACATGGAATGCACTAATTCACTTGCTCTAGATCTGTGGGGTACCAGGAAACACTGTAATGCCATCATGAATGTGGAGCCATGGAGTTACTCTGATCAGGAAAATATCACGTGCCATGAACTGGTGGCTATAGTCCTCCGCAGGTTGTCATGCCTAGAAAAGCTGGTGGAAGGGTACTTTGACCAGTTGGATCCTATGCCTGTGGTCAAGGCGTGTGGATTACAGCTGTGAAGTCTCTATTCTCCAATTTGTTTGCAAAGGGAGGGGCCCTGTTTCTACTCTACAAATAGAACTTGATCTACTTAAAATTTCCCTAATCCTGTGGAGCTTATCAGATGCTCCAATAGTGTTAGGGAAGAGTTGGCAGACACAGGATTCAAGGAGCGCTGCACCCTGCTCCCATAAGTAGGGCAGACATTATCAACAGATCAACAGATCTCAGCCCTTTCTGCTGCCATGCCACAGGAGCTATGCTTCTTCACATAGCTCTGTAGTGACTGACAGAAGCTGACCTAAAGGATTGAATCTATCTATTACCACAGGAACAGGGTGCTTTGATCCAAGATGAGTCTGGTTGAACATACACTCCCTCCTCCTGATGCTACAGACCACAGTCCAGTCTACAAGATGCACATTAAATACAGACACATTCATATGTCCTCATGCGCCAATAAATAAAGTAATGCCAGTAGGCCCAAGTTATAAGCTTGCAGGACGCGTGATAAGATTTCAGGTGTGTGCAGGACCTAGGTATGAAAAATGGAGAAAGGGCCACTGGCAGTCTTCTGCATAAGCAAATTACTTTCTCTTGAGACACAGACACTTGCAGGCGGAGGAGGAATGGCAGGAAGAGGAAGTGAAACTGACAACAAATAACTTTAATTTCAGCGGTATAAGCGCTTTTGTCTCAGAAGCCAATGTAGGTGGGTGTGAAGAAATGACAGCCCTTAGGCATACTCCCTGCCCCTGACAGCCCCCAGGAGACAGCCCAGACTTTGGAAAGTGACAGGTAAAGCCACATTTGGCCTGTACTTAGAGGTGGCATGTTTCCTGGTATCATAATGGATGTAAAAGAACAAGGAAGGGAACTGAACTAAGAACCTGGAAACCAAATGCAAGCAACTGAGATGGGGGCAGTTGAAAAATGAATTTAAAGCTGAATTGCAAATCAACTGCATGGTTTCACACTTTTCTAGGAAAAAGCAAAAACTGGAAGCTTAACAGGCAAACACTTTTTCAGTCAGCAGGAATGGCATTAGGAAAAGGATAAGATGTGGCAGAGACACATCAGAAATTATTTGACTTCCGATAGAAGATTCATGGCAGGGGGCTCTTGATC